ACTTTTAAGTACATTTGTCCAAGAAATAAAATAACTGACGTATTTCTTTAATTTTAAGCATTATAGGGCATATAAAGTCAATTTTCGCTCTTTTTTTTTTGGTAAATTACTATCATAACCAATCTTAACAAATGGATTTGATGGTTATGCAATACTATAATGCTTAGATGATATTTGATGTAGGATTTTGCATGCTTAAAATTTAGAGAGCAATATTAAGTAAAACTTATATTGATTCAAACGATAAGATAAAACAATAAGGCGATAAAATAAGCTTAGACCAAATCATATGCGTAGAAGTTAAGATATCAAAACAGTCAATTACTCTATCATTGCATGCGTGGAAGGTTTTCAACGAGAAATCCCTATGTTAACAGTAAGACTAGTCACTATGCAAGGATCCCTCATTCAATTCTCTAGATCACTAACCTTTAGCGGAGGAGAACTAGCATGATTTTCATGAATCAAAATATAATCACAATTGATAAGTAAACTAGGAAGATATAAGAGTTGTTGGAAAGGTTTACCCAATGGAAGACAATATGAAGCTCCGGTGTGGCCGTTTGGATTCTTGGGAAGTAATGGACAACAACACGAACCTCCTAGCTGTCTTGGGACATCACTTTGGCAACCTCTGGGTAGTGGACAGCAATCGAGGGCTTCACCAATCAGCTGGACAGGAAAAGGTTTGCATGTATTTCTCGGACATCACTTGAAGGAGTGTTGGACAGCGAGCAAGAGCGGCCTTGGTAGCAATATTGATGACCGGAGTTTTCTTGACAGCAATTTCTGAGTTGAAAAATTGCTGGACAGCAAATTAGATCAGGTTTTTAGAAACTAGATTTTTAATTTTGAACTTAAGTAATGTGGAAGGGAGGGAAAGTCACTCTTTAATGAGAGGTTGATTGAAGTAATTAAGGGAGGAAAGTTAATGTGGGTAGAGAGAAATAGGGTGGGGGGTGGGGGTTGGGGTGACTTCAAGAGGGGAGAGGAACTTGGGGAAAGAAATCAAAGCCAACTTGATTTGTCATAATAAATTAGGAAGGATGAATCTCATTCCAATCTAATTTAAAATTCAAATTGGATTGATTTTGGAAACTTTACTAAAATAGAACTTCGTATTTTAGGAAACAAATTCGAATTCAAATTGATTTGAATATGAATTAAATGGATTGCCTAAAATATAAAGTCTAAATTAGGAAAGGTTTTGATTGCATGCTCTGATTGAGGGACTCAAGGGGGAAGGTGATGTGGCCGGCGGCTAGGGTTAGGATGAGGATGTTTTGGTGGTGTGGACGTGGGGAAGGGGAAGGGGCTTGGAGCTTGTAGTGGCCGGTGGATCTGGGGGTTTGAAACCGTAGGCTGAGGGTTAGGACGAGAGGGGGAAAGAGGAAAAGAAAAGATAGGGAAGAAAGAGCCACAAACCCGGATGCTACCAAGGTTGGTGGGTGATCCGATTCCCTCTCATAGGGTTTTTCCTCTACAAGAACTCCTAATCTCTCTCAAGAACTCAATTTGTTGAAATTTTTTATATATTCATTCATTATCACTCTCAAAGGAGAGGAGGGACTTAAATAGTCCAAAACATGAAGGAGAAAACAAAAGACAACATTGGCCCTAGGGCTTACAAATAATTAATCCCTGAAGTAAGGGCATATATGGAAAAGTATATAAATAAATCAAAATACATAAAATAACTCAAAAATAAATTGGCGCGATCGTGACTGTAGATCGTCGGCCCCGCCTCTCATAGACTTTCAAAGGCCTGATGCCCTTATCAGATAGTTTGGGGTCAGTATTCTATGAGATCTTACTTTGTTCTTTTTAAGTTTTTCTTCTTCTAGGTTTATACTTATCATGTGTGTAATGATGATATAACCAATTCAACCTGCATTAATGCTTATGCAATGCTAACAATATCCTTCACCACAATTGTATAATCCTACATTATAATGCGTCGACACTTCTCCTCAAAAAAATATGCAGTGTCTAACACATATTGGATATGATATGTATTCGATACGCCTTTGACACTTGTTAAAAAAGTCGAAGATGTGTTCAAAAAAATTATATTAAATAAATTGGAATTGCGTGTCTTTAATATTTTGTGAAAAACTTTTTTAAATATAAAATTTTTCATTCAAAATTATATTTTAAAAAATAAATAATTTTTATTTATTTCCTTTCCATAACCCTAAATTATTTGCCTGCACTCAATAGCCCAATAGCCCATTCCCTGAACATTCGCATGTTCATTTATCGCTGGTGGGCCACGACTAGCATTTCATAACAATGTATGATGTCATCTCAACATCAATGTTTGACATCATAAAACATAAATGTTTCAAAAACATTTCAACATCGAAGTCTGACATTGTCTTGACATTGACGCTCAAGCTAGTAATTTGTACACCCACCAATACACCTATACACCACCTTAACATCTCATCTTTATCCAATATTGTCTCAATATTAATGACTGATGCCACCTCGACATCGATGCTAGATGCCCATGTACAACATTGATGCCTGTCTCCAGACAACATTTTTGTTTCCCCTTTTTATTCCTTTTCAATAATTGACATATCCCCCTGTCCATATCATGTTGTGTTATATCTCCACGTTTGTGCTTGTGCATTATAGCCCTCAACACTTCTCTAGTGGGAGTACTTGGATTTTCTCTCTCTTCAAAACGACTGATTTCAGCTTTATAATACTCAGATAGGCCCGGCCGATCGCCAGATTGTCCCAGGACGATCAGACCAAATTTGATCGTCCTGGACGGTTCCCAGGACTATTCTCCGGCCGATATTTTGAACAGTGCACATCGGCCTGGCCGATGCCTCAATCGGCCTGGACGATGCCTAAAGAAAAACACCTGGAGCAAATCTGGGCAAATTCTGGAGCAAATTCTTAACTGATCGTCCCAGGACGATCCCAAATCGTCCTGGACGATCCTGGAGCAGATTTTGATATTACAGGTTTAATGATGATATAACAAATATAGCCAATTTATGATGTCAATACAATATAATACCTTTCACAGTCAAGTGTGTAACCCTAAAATTATTGGCCATTTATTTTAAATGATCGGTGAATGACTAGATGAAGGCGATGTTGATGTTCTCAAGTGAACATGTCATACCTAGGGGCCATTATAATTATCTAACTTTTTTTTTTTTCAATTCCCATCTCATAGGGTTTACCTTGTTGATAAGTTGTGTATCAAGAAAGGGCACTCTTATTGGAAGCTGCCCATAATTGACGAATTGAACCCTATGGAGCAATATCTTGAGGTCCCTTACATTAAAATGTGAGACAACTATCTTAGATTAATAAATTTTCCAGTATTTTTATTTTTAGTGTTGAGATGAGGAATAGTTTGATAAACTGCTGCTTAATTGCAAATCCAAGGTGAAGTTGGGATTGATGGTTAAGGCTTTGTTCAACCCATTTAGGACTCATCACATTTATACTCAATTAGGATTGAACCATCTAACTAGGGGTACAAATGAGTCGAGTCGAGCTCGAGTCAGGGGGTGTTCGAGTCGAGCTCAACTGTCAAATACCGAGCTCGAGCTCGAGCTCAAAAGTCGAGCTCGAGCTCGACTCGTTCCTTTATAAACGAGTTCGAGCGGCTCGTCGAGCCGCTCGTCAAACTTTTTGCACGGTCTTGTTCGCGTTCTCGTTCATCGAGCATGGCACGGCTTTTTAAAACGAGAGAGGAAAGAGGGAGAGAGCGTGGCTTTTTAAGAGAGAGAGAGAGATAGAGAGAAAGCCAAATTGAATGACTAAAAATGAATTTAATATTCAGCCGTTTACATCATCATTTAATGTCTACATTTATTATTCAGCCATTCAGTCTGTTAGAGTCTCAGAGAAATGCCAGAGAGAGAGAGAGAGGGAACTTTGAATGCGGGATTTAAGAAATAAAATAAAAAAAAGGGAATACGATAATTTTGAAATACTTACTAACATTTACTATTTATTTTTTTTATATTTATATTTAATAATTATTCGAACCGACTCGCGAGCTCACGAGCCGAGCTGGCCCAAGCTCGAACTCGAGCTCGAGCTCGACTCGTGAGCTCGATAAGCTCGGCTCGCGAGACCATAAACGAGTCGAGCTCGAGCCGGCTCGGCTCACTTGCACCCCCCTACCTCTAACCATGGTGAAGTTGAGATTGATGGGTAAGGCTTGACTCAACCCATTTAGGATTCAGCACATTTATATACTCAACTAGGATTGAACCCTATATAGTGGTCATAAAATTTATAACTGTATGGTTTTGAGTTGACAAGGGATATTCATTTAGGACATAATTTGGTTAAAAATTATTAGGTTTGTTATATAATGCTGGAGTAGCTTAGATTCTTTGTCTTATTTAGGGTTAGCTTATCCTCTCCTCTTATATGGATTTTTAAAAAGGTTATTTTTTAACATATTGCCCAAGTTTTGGGGTACCAAATTGGCGATAATCATATGTTATATTTTTAGGTAATCAATACTTGATGCCTAACATGGAATATACATGTATCAGTTTTCACAATCTTGAGAGTTAAATTTATTATAAATTTCTCATCGATACACCTTTGTAATATTTCCAAAGGCCTAAAATCATGTTTCGGGCATGTTCTTAAGGGATCAGGTATCATGCAGTATGATAAATGGGTTTTAATGGAAGACTCTACAAGTGGTGGGTAGTCTAAAGAAAATCTCCTATTTGATTTAATTAAATATATTGAGGTAAGTTTACCAGGATTCCTTCTAAATATTAAATACTTGAAATTTGCATCTCTCTTGTTGTGTAGCATGTTTGGAGCTATTTTCACTTTATCATTTCTTAGAAGCCTTTTCTTTTCACATGCAAACTTGATTGTAGTTTTATATGGAAATATTCATCTTAAGGTACACATTAATTGCTTCAACTTTTCTTTCGTTAATTTTTTGGTTTACATTATTATATTACGAGCTTAGTTTCTTTGTCTTTGGGGTCTAGCGAATTGTTACAAATCGAATTCCTAAATGAAAGAAAGGGCAGTTTAGGAGAGCGTGAAGCGGCTATTAAGTTGACAGAAGACATTGAAGAACAAGAGTTACTTCTGGATTTCCTTCAGCTCCTGCAAAGAAGAAAACTAGAATCTGCTGATAATTTACATGATACTATTGGTATGCTCAGCGTTGATATAGAAGAAGTTGATAATCAGATGTCAACCATGATGAAGAACGGATGCTCGTTTTTAGGACTAGAGAAAGATCATGAACCAGTTCATAAAATTGAGTGTCCAATCCTCCATTTTGAAATGAATGAAGAATCATCTTCTTCAGGTTCTAGGAAGCGCATTAGACTGGGACCTTTGGATTGTGCTGATGAGAATAAGGAGATGCGTTTTGATGGTCCTACGTCAGAGGCTAAACATGATATCCAGGAGAAGATTCGTTCAAAAAGTTCTCGAATCATGAAGAACTTAAAAAAATTTGAGGTATCTTATCTTTCATCAAGATGCATGTCCATTAAGCCCACAGGCAAATTTACTAGTAGAAAATTACTAGCAATTAATCTTAGCAGCGGGTCAACTATCAAAACTGAGGGCAGTTCAGTTGATTACTTGGCTTCTAAGGAAGGCAATTGTGGAAGAAGAATGGGTGAATGGGTTAATCCCTTTTTTGAAGATTTGTGCAAGTACTTATCTTTCAGCAAATTCAAAGTACATGCAGAACTAAAACAAAGAGAACTTATAAACTCCTCTAGTTTGATTTGCTCCTTGGCATTTGATCGGGACAAGGAATTTTTTGCAACTGCCGGGTTAAATAGGAAAATAAAAGTTTTTGAATTCGATGCAGTTATAAACCAAGACCCTGATGTTCATTATCCAGTGATTGAGATGACGAGTAAGTCAAAACTTAGCAACATTTGCTGGAATGGCTACATAAAGAACCAAATTGCTTCAAGCGATTTTGAAGGGGTTGTGCAGGTGAATCATTACATTGCTTTCTTCTTCTCATATACTATTTGCAATTACTTATGTAATGCTGCTTCCTAGTTGTTTTGTAGGTATGGGATGTCACTAGCTGTAAAGTCTTCCTTGAAATGAGGGAGCATGAGAAGCGAGTGTGGTCCGTTAACTATTCACCAGTAGACCCAACTAAGTTAGCTAGTGGAAGTGATGATGGAACTGTGAAGCTCTGGAAGATCAATCAGGCAATTCTACTCTTGCACTTGGTGTATGTCTGTTTTGCAATCATATGCGCTGCTATCTGACATTGAATGCTTATATTTGTTTTTACGAGCATTCCATATGGTTTATAATGCAGGGAAGAAGCACTGGAACCATCAGAACAAAGGCAAACGTATGTTCAGTTGAGTTTCCACCTGATTCTTCTGCTGCTCTTGCTATAGGTTCAGCAGATCATAATGTCTACTATTATGATCTTCGTAATATAAGTCTTCCATTGCGTACATTTGTTGGCCATGCAAAGACTGTGAGCTATGTTAAGTTTGTGGATTCATCAACCCTTGTATCTTCATCAACGGACAACTCATTGAAGCTTTGGGACCTGTCTGTGAGTACGTCAAGAGTCGTTGACAATCCCATTCAGACATTCACAGGGCATACAAATATTAAGGTGCAGTCGCTTTGTTAATTCTCGATCTAAGTATAATGCATTTTTGCATACATATCTGTTGGAGTAGATCTACATAGTTGTGTTTCTGATGAAAAATGTGACCTAATGACATACCTTGCAAATAAACTGCCTTTTAAAATGTTGCTGATTGACTAATTCCTTTGTAAAACTATACGCACTCATTTTTTGTTGTGATTGTAACTCAGTATCGCATGCAATAGCCGTTGCAGCACCTTTTACTTGTTGTGTTAAATTGCACACACAAGTCATCTTTGTTAGGTACTGGTGGGGAAATCTGTGGGCTCTGAAAATTCGGCCCCGGCCTCCGCCCGCTTTTCTTTTATTCGGCGAGGGAGTTTTAACTAAAATAAGTTCCGGGGTAAATTTTGGAAGGCAGATGGATAGGGAGATTAGAGGTATCCAGACAAA